ATGATAACGACTATGTATGTATACAGACAAGAGAGAGGTCGGCACGCTCAACACGGTGTTACCACACGACAATCTCTTTATCCCAGCCCTCCAGCCTGCCAAGGTCTTGGGTACATGTGTACACACCAGGCATCTCCAAGGGGAAGAGAGATCTGTACGTGGAGTCAGCCATGTGGCTTCTAGTGCTGCAATTCGGCATACTTCCACCTACACCACCAAGGCTGGGCTGTCAGTTCTAATTGTTTTATCTCCCTTATGCTAAGCCGTAATTGGTCTTTGTGTAGTTCTTACCTCAAGTTTTTTTTCTGGTGTATCACACAAAAGAATCCAATCCCTCCAAAAAGTATAAATCCTATTTTGGTTCACTTTTCTGTTGCTATAAATCTGTAACACAGATTGGGTAATTTATAAAGAATTGGGTTTATTCAGCTCATGATTCTGTAGGTTCAAGGTCATGGGGCCCCATCTGGTAAAGGTCTTTTTTTTTTTTTTTTTTTTTTTGGAGAGGTTTTTGCTATAGGGTATGTGTGCTCACCAGAAAGACAGAGAGAGACAGAGAGACAGAAAGCAAGAAATCACCGCCGAGGGGAGATGGCCACACCGCAATCTCTTCTCCTCCATTCTCCTCTCAGGATCTTGGGCATGCACGCACACGCACCCAGTATGAATTTTAAGCCACTGGGTCCAGGACGCAAACCGTAGTCAACTACGTGGGAGTCCAGCGACATAGCCATTACACTAACTGCTGGTCCCTGGTAAAGGTCTTTTTACTGGTGGGGGCTCTGCAGAATCCCAAGGCAGTGCAGGGCAGGGCACCACAGTGAGAGGATAAGAGCATGTGTTCACAATGGTCTCTCTCTTCTTTTTACTTTTCTTTCTTTTTTTTTTTTTTTTTTGGAGAGGTTTTTGCTATAGGGTATGTGTGCTCACCAGAAAGACAGAGAGAGACAGAGAGACAGAAAGCAAGAAATCACCCCCGAGGGGAGATGGCCACACCGCAATCTCTTCTCCTCCATTCTCCTCTCGGGATCTTGAGCACGCAAGGCACACGCGCCCGGCGTGAGTTTAAGCCACCAGATCCAGGACTCAGCGACACAGCCATTATGCCAGCTGCTGGTCCCAGGTCTCCTTCTTCTTACAAAGTCACTAATCATGAGGGCCCCACACAGATAATCTTATCTAAACTAACTCTCTCTCAGAGATCCCACCCTAGCTACCATAGCCAGATTAAACTGCTACTCTTTTTGGCTGGTCTTGATGGTGGAGCTATATCCTGCAGTTCAAATCTTGGCTCCAGTGGCTTGAAAAACACACAGGCACATGTGTATATGTGCCCCAAATCCCAACAGTATGGAAAAGGGAAGAAGGGCTTGTGGTGTGGCCACTTCCAATTGAGTGGTGCTTTCTCCCTTTCTCTCTCTCTCTGGTGAATGCACAGGACCTCTGGCAATTATATCTATATAGACATATAGATATATATACACACACATACACACGCATATATACGTATACACACATACACACACACACACACACATATATATAAATTTTTTTTCCACCTTTTCATACCTTCAAAAGAACAACCAATTTCTAACACATGAATTCTGGGGGCATGTGTAGACAGAGAGCAAGCTGCAGGCATCTTTTATAACAGCCAGCTCTGTTAGAACTAACCCTCTCTCACAAGAGCTAGAATGCACTGTCTTTAAAGATATCATCAATTTATTTATGAGAGTACGCCTCCATGATGCAATCACCAAGAGGCAATCACCATCCCCTAGGCCTTACCACCTCCCAACTCCAATTCTAAAACGTGAAACGTCAGGGTACAAACCCTAACAGTAGGCATGGGATGCTGGAGACTGAGTGGGGTGGTGAACGTAACCACACCATGAGGTGGCCCAACGCAGTGTCTAAGAGCCTGTGTGGGAAGAGAAGTCATCTTCACTGTGGGGTACCCTACAATGGAGGGTCAAGAGGGCATCCACATGGTGTGGGATGCTGGAACCAAGAAGGGTGAGAAAGGTGGCCTGGCACAAAGCAGCAGAGTCCAACTAGGTCAAGAAGAACAACCACGCAGCAGAGTAACGTTATTAATAAAAGGTGTCAAAGCCCAGGCCAAGGGAAGAGGGGAGGAACAGCACATGGTAACCACACAGGTTGTAGAATTAAATGATAGTAATTTATCACTGCAAATTTCCTAAAGGTGTATTGTGGTTCTGTAGGAGAATGTCCTTGTTGACAGGAATGACATACTAAAGTATTCCAGAGAGATGAGACATCATACTGGCCACTTACTCCGAAATGATTTACTTAAATAAACAAAGATTACACTGTACTTATAATTTCTCTATGTCAGATTGCTTCCAAATTCTTAATGAATTTCCCTTTTTCTAAAACATTTAAAAATGTGTTCCTCATGGGACCAGCGGGTGGCAGAAGTTATGTCACTAGACTCCCATGCAGTTAACATTTCAAGTCCCAGATCCAGCGGCTTAAAACACACCAGGTCTGTGTAAGTGTGTGCCCAAAATCCCAAAAGGAGAATGCAGGAGAAGGGATTATGGTGTGGCCATTACCTCTGAGGATTGATTTCTCACTTTCTGTCCATCTCTTTCTGTCTGTCTGTCTGTCTGCCTGTCTCTCTCTCTGGAGAGTGCACATGCCTTACAGCAAAAATAAATAAATAAATAAATATAAATAAAATTAAAACCAACTCTTAAAACAATGTGTGTGTGTGTGAGTGTGTGTGTGTAACTCAAAGCTTTGGGCTTCCCTGCTCAGGGCAAGGACTAGGGAAGTAGAGGGTTAAGTAGAGAGGGACCTGAGTTCCATTACTGCTTTAATAAGAATAGCTACACCTTGTTGAGAAGCAACTTAGGGTACTAATTACAAACCCAGCCATTGAAGTCAAACTTGCTAGGATTAAATCCTGGTCCCATAAAGGCTTGGTATATAAAAGTTACTTAATCTTTTTAAGTTTGTTTCTTCATCTATAAAATGAGAAAAATGACAGAAACTACATCTTACCAGGTTGTTATGAGGATTACAAAAAATGACATATATTTATAACTATGAACGCTAAATTTAAACTCTTAATAAGATAATATAGTACCTGACAGTAACAGCTCAATATACGTGACCTATTTTTCGTTATTATTTATTTAGTACATTGTCCTTCCTTCCACATAGAATTTTATTAAAAAAAAAATAAAACCACGATTGTAATATACTTGTGTAATATACTTGTATTACACAACTTTTCAGCAATAGTTATGTTTTCGGGAAGATGAAAGCACAAGCCTAGAGTCAGACAGCTTTGTGTTCAATTGTAATTTAGCCATTGTGTGACCTTAGGCAAGTTACTCTGCTTCTGAGACTACCAAATAAGGATAAAAGCTGTAAATATTAAACTGGATAAATGAGTAAGGCTTTAGCCCTTTAGTTGCTGTGTGACCTTAGGCAAGTTACTTGATTTTTCTAAGTCTCTGCTTCTGGGACTACCAAATAAGGATAATAACTGTAAATATTAAACTGGATAAATGAGTAAGGCAATAAGCAAAGTATGTAGTATTTTATTTAAAATAATGTGAGCTGCTGTTGTTATTTCTGTCCTATGCATATTTAATACTCTTGGGTAAGAGGTAGCACTACAGCTTGTGGGCTGAATCCTGCCCATCCTCTGCTTTTGAAAGGCCAGGTTTAATTACAACAGCTAAATGCAGTCATTTATGCACAGTGTAAGGCTGTGTTAGTGCTGCAACAGCAGAACTGAGCAGCCGTAACAGAGATCAGATGGCCCACAAGGTCTCACAAGGTCTCAAACATTTACTCTCTAGCTTTTTCAAGTGAAGTTTGCTACTTTGTATCTAGAACAATTAAGAAAATGAATACAATGTTCTAGAATGTTAACCTAGATAGTATAAATGGAACAAGATAGCCAAGTTAACTTGCTTTCCAACTATTTCAATAAATTCAAAGCCATTCACAAACAATTTTCTCAAAAAAAAGTAAGCATTTTCAAAATTGAAGATATCCTTAGAGGTTCTAAGTTAAAATCATTTATCTTTCAAATAGAAGTACAAATTTGAAAAGTTACCTAAGTGTCTTATAGCTAAGGAAATTACAAATTACTTAACACAATACATTAAGGTCTATATTGGGTCATGATCAAAACAGATTTTTTTTGGAAGTACCTTGAAAAATAAATCAGTGCTGTCTCCATGACACATCAGTAGAGAGTTACTCAAGATAACTCAGATTCTACTGGGCTGTTGGAAAAGTCATGCCACATTTTTGCATAGAAAAACATAGAAAAAAATGTCATGACTTTTCCAACGACCCAATACATGGCAACCATGGTTCAAATCCCTGGGCTGAAACATGCTGGGCACGCACACGAGTGTCTAGTATCTGATCGGCTAGAGGATAAGAGGAAGGGAATTGCAGTGGCCAGATCCTGTGAAGAGTTCTCATTTCATCTCTCTCTCTCTCTCTTTTTCTCTCGCACATGCAAGCACAGGTGGTCTATCATGAATAAAGAAAAAATATTTTAAAATAAATAAATCATATTGAAAAGTGTATCTGAGAAACAACTACACTAAAGGAAGTGTGCGAAGTACCATAAGAAATTCATAAAAGATAAAACAAAAGTAAACTTAAGATGCTTACAATCTAGCTGAGCAGAAAAATAGCCTCTAAGACTTATCACAGAGTACCAGCAGGTGGTGTGGCAGTTAAAGATGCTGGACTCCCACATGGCCGACCATGGTTTGAGTCCTGGACCTGGTGGCTTGCTTTCTCACTTTCCCTCTCTCTCTGATCAAACTGGAAAATAATAATGAAGTTAAATGCAATAATTTTTTAAAAACTTATTATAGTACAAGACAGATTTAAATATATGTCATTGTAATTTCTCTATATATATTTTAAATGTTTAAAATAAGATATCGTTGTCACTTTACAACCTATACTACTTGAAAAATTTTAAAATGTATTACCTGAATTGGATGTTCACTAAATGGGGCTGGGAGCCATCTGATTGCCAGTAAGTTTCTAGATTGTCATCACGTAATTGGTCCACTCCAAATCCTAAAAATACCAAAGTGGCAATAAATTCCCATGAAATAGAAAGAGCTACATATGGAGAATTACCATTTATGTTTGTCTAGAAATTTCGATAAATAACATGGTCAGAAGTGTGAAATTTAAGTTAACCATAATTCTTCCACCCTGCTATCCAGACATCAACTCTGGGTAAGTTCTAAACTGAAGTTGAACTATCCCAAGTTTTTTCCTGATTAAAACCACAATAATTCATACAAATGGTAGAAATGGGTCTGATTTAATAGCAAAGTGCCTACTTTTTCAAAAAAAGTTTGGGCCAAGTTTTTTATAGCAGTTGGCTTTTTTTTAAAAAAATCTAAAGTACAAAGTCCGTATGTCTTCAAAACCAGTTTCTTCCAGCTGATAATAACAATGATCCCTATATCCTGCAAAACTCACGAAACAGATTCTGGTAACTTCAATATGGCATACTTACTGTGATGAAAAAAGGCAACTAAGAAATAATTTCAAAAGGCATATACATGTAGGAAACCAGCAGTTAGCGTAATGGCTATGTCGCTGGACTCCCACGTAGTCGACCGCGGTTCGTGTCCCGGACCCGGTGGCTTACAACTCACGCCGGGCGCGTGTGCGTGCGTGCCCAAGATCCCGAGAGGAGAATGGAGGAGAAGGGAAAAAAAAAAAAAAAGGCATATACATGTGGAAACCAACTGCTTCTGATCAATTGAAATTAAATACACATAATCCCATATCCTACAGCCAACCAGATAACAGAAGTTGAACTATCCTGTTTTTTGCCTGGTTAAAACAATAATTCAGGACCAGCATAACGGCTACATCACTGGACTCCCTCTCAGTCAAACACAGTTTGAGTCTTGGACCCAGTGGCTTAAAACTCATGCCAACTGCATGTGTGTTCATGCCCAAAATGCCAAGAAGAGAATGGAGGAGAAAGGATTGCAGGGGGTGGGGGGGGATTTCTCACTTTCTGTCTCTCTGTCTTTCTGGCGAACACAGGTACCCTATAGCAAAAACCTCTCCAAAACAAAAACAAAAACAAAAAAGCAAGAAATCACCCCCCAGGGGGGATGGTCACGCCGCAATCCCTTCTCCTCCATTCTCCTCTCGGGATCTTGGGCACGCACGTACACGCGCCCGGCGTGAGTTTTAAGCCACCGGGTCCGGGACACGAACCGCGGTCGACTACGTGGGAGTCCAGCGACATAGCCATTACGCTAACTGCTGGTTCCCTGATTTCTCACTTTCTGTCTCTCTGTCTTTCTGGCAAACACAGGTACCCTATAGCAAAAGTCTCTCTTAAAAATATAATAAAAATAATTCATACTAATCATAAAAATAAGCCTGATTTAATAGTAAAGTGTAGAGTAAAAAAAAGTTAAAAGAAATAAATTTAATTTACATTTTTTGACTAAATAATACATTCCTTATAGATCAAATTCAAATGGTGAAAAAAAAGGTGAAAAGCAGCTATCTTCCATCATCTCCTTCTCTTCTCCAAATTAAATCAATGTGTTTTACATACTCTGTATGCCTATATAAGGAAACCTATACAAATCCCTTTTTTCCCCCTCTCTTTACTTGTATTGTAGAATACTACGCAAAGTTCTGCACTTGGGTGTTTTTTTCTCACTAAATATATATGGAAGATTATTTTGTTATCAGTAAGTTAACAATATCAATAAACTAGCAATATCCTGGTACATTTCTTATGTAATAGGGACATTTTACATACATTAAATTATCTAATATTAATTAATATAGTAACTCAGTTAACAAAAACAGCTTCCACATTTAAGGTTATATAAGTATGCCATTGTTTGGAAATATCAAAATTTAACCAAACCCCTGTAGGAAATTTAGGTTCTTTCTAATGTCTTGTGATTTATAAGCAATATTGCAATAAACAATTATCTATCTATAATCTGTAAATAAATTTTTTTATGTTGATTATATGTTAAAATAATAGTTTAGACATACTGACAGAAATGAAATAATTTATGGCACCTGTTTCTTTTCACTTTCTACATGTGTTTTTGCCCTTTTTTTTTTTAATTGTCCTTGTTTTGTTTTTGTTTTTGCCAGTGGGCACTTGTGCTTGCCAGAGAGATACAGAAGGGGTGTGTAGGGAGCAGGGAAGCAACCCCCAGAGGACATGGTCATGCTGCAGTCCCTTTTCCTCCGTTTTTTAGTCCCATCAGCATTTGGGGCATGAATGTAAAGGAGCCCAGCGTGTTTTTTAAGTTGTCAGGGGAGCAGGATTCAAACCATGGTCAGCCATGTGGGATCCAACTCCCTTTACCACTAAGGTGTGGGGCCAGCTATTTTTTTAATGTAGCTAGTGGATCATTTCGATTACATATGTGGGACCAGCTGCAGTGGGCAAGCAGTAGGGTACCACGATACAAGGCCATGGCCTCAAGGGAGGCCCAGGTTTGGTTCCAGACCAACCTACACAGGTTGGGCACAGTAGCAAGAGCTGCAGTCCTACCCAACTGGAAGGCTGGGGATGGAGAATCACAACATGGCCAGATTGTCAAAAAACAATTATATATGTGGTTTACGTTATATTTCTATTGGATAGTACTGTTCTGTACTCGTGCTGAAATGCAACTAATCTTTTAAAAAAACCTATTAACTTGATAGGTAGACAGTTATATTTCATGTTTTTATTAATTTTAGATATACGTCTCTTCTTAAATAAAATACCTTTTTATACATTCCTATATTTTCATTGGAGTTTGGACTTCAAATTTATTCATAAATTAATTTCCTATTTATATTTTACTATTAAAGGTATTAACCCTCTGGCTGTTCCATGTAATCGAAACACGTTCTCAGGCTGAGATTTACATCAATTTACATCTGCCGCCTTTACCATATATAGTAGTGGATAAGAAAAGTTTTCCCAAAGGAGTAACTTTTGCATTGAATTCTGATGTCCTATTAATAGTTAGCTAGGTAGGGAACCAGCAGTTAGTGTAATGGCTATGTCGCTGGACTACCACGTAGTCGACTGCGGTTTGCGTCCCGGACCCGGTGGCTTAAAACTCATGCTGGGCGCGTGTGCGTGCGTGCCCAAGATCCTGAGAGGAGAATGGAGGAGAAGGGATTGCGTCGTGACCATACCCCCTGGGGGGTGATTTCTCGCTTTCTGTCTCTATGTCTGTCTCTGTCTGTCTGGCGAGCGTACGCGCCCTATAGCGAAAAATCTCTCAAAAAAAAAAAATAGTTAGCTAGGTAAAGAAGAAGGGTAAGGTTAAAGGGCATTTGGCAAGGGGAGAACACGTAATGGCAGGAATTAATAAAAATGGTACGTTTGGGAATATCAGTAGGTCCTTTAGAGAGCAAAGGCTACACATTGGTTGAAACAGGAAATGAGCCAGAAACTTATGAAAAGAGCCAGATCACACAGACTAAGTGAAGGAATATGCCAACCTTGAAAAATATGCCAACCTACCAAAAATTTTTTAGTAAGTCACAGAATCAGGAAATTACATGATCAGGATCTTTGGGTAGATTCTTGATCCCTGAGAGAGTGAGAAAGCCACTATAGTAATAGGTGTAAATGATGATACTCTGAATTAAGGTTAAGTGACAAGGAAATCTTTAAAAAAAAAAAAAAAGTTTTCTGTCTCACCAAAGGAAAACTTTTTAAAATATAAAAACTGGGCTCCCTACTACTTACTCTGTAGCACTTGAAACTTCAATGTCCAGTATAGTAGCCACTAGCCAAACGTGACTACTGAACACTTGAGATATGGCTCATCCAAATTGAGATGTACTTCCTGTGTAAAACACACACCGGTGTCTGAAGACTTACTATGAAGTGTAAAATATTTCCTTAATAACAATGACCTAATTATATCAGATTAAAACATTTTGTTATAATTAATTTCAACCTTTTTTTAGTCCTTTTACCTGTGCCTACTAGAAAAAAAAATTACACACGCAACTTGCATTATATTCCTATTGGATAGTGCTGCTTTAGACCACAGTTCTATATCTTTGTGTATGCAATAATGCTAAGGCTAATACAGAACATTCACTTGTACAAATTGTAAGATAAACAGTGGGCTTTTGTTTGTTTGTTTTGTTGTTCTGAGAGAGGCTTTTGCTATAGGATGTATGCACTCGGCAGGGAGACAGAAAGACAGAAAGCAAGAAATCACCCTCCCCCGGGGTGGGAGGGGTCACACAGCAATCCCTTCTCTATTCTACTCTCAGGATTTTGGGCACACAAGCACATGCACCCAGCATGAGGTTCAAGCTGCCAAGTCTGGTACTTGAGCTGTAGTTGACTATATGGGAGTCCAGCAACATAACCATTATTCCATCTGCTGGTCCCATTGTTTTGTTTTTAAATGAGTCTAGGTTTTAAATTCCTTTTTCTCTTTATTAGTTTATAAATCCCCCTAGTGAAAGATAACTAAATCACATGATTTTTCCTTAAGGATTCCTTCATTAGTGTTCTATTGGTTAAAATCAACTGGTGACGTGATCCAAGCAGAAGTTTTATATGTACTTGTGCACTCTAGCTTGGCCTTCTGAATGTATGCACTCCACTAAGAGAACATGCCTGGAAACAAGGAGCAGAGCTGAACTCAATTCAAAGCCTAAAGCTAAGCCATATCCTCGCAAAAAATAAACTGTGTTGTTATTTGTCACTGAGAGACTAGGATTAATTGTTATGAAGCATTCATAAAGCAAGAGTTGATTTATGTAACAGCTATATACAAGATACATATGAACAGCCTTTATGAATAAAACAGTCATCTTCTCCTCAAGGATGCCTATTAATACAACTACTTTCACCTTTTCTTTCCTTTTCTTTTTTGAAAGATTTTTTGCTATAGGTGTCTGCACTCACTGAAGAGACAGACAGAGATAGAAAGTAAGAAATCACCACCCAGGGGGGATGGTCACATGGAAATCCCTTCTCCTCCAACCTTCTCTCAGGATTTTGGGCACGCACGCACATAGGCCCAAGCTGGGTTTTAACCTGC